CCTAGGGTTTAGGGTGGTTTCGGGTTTGGGGTTTAGGGTTTTAGGTTCCCAGCAGAGGCTCTGGCAGGCTGGATGCGAAAGGTTTTAGGGTTTAGGGTTTTAGGGTTTTTAGGGTTTTAAGGTTTAGGGCCTAGGGTTTAGGGTGGTTTGGGGTTTAGGGTTTGGGGTTTTAAGGTTTTAGGGTTTTAGGGTTTTTAGGGTTTTAGGGTGTTTAAGGTTTTAGGGTTTAGGGCCTAGGGTTTAGGGTGGTTTGGGGTTTGGGGTTTAGGGTTTTGGGTGTTAGGGTTTTAGGGTTTTTAGGGTTTTAGGGTTTTTAGGGTTTTAGGGTTTAGGGCCTAGAGTTTAGGGTGGTTGCGGGTTGGGGGTTTAGTGTTGCAGCGTCCCAGCAGAGGCTCTTGCAGGCTGTATGCACAAGGTTTTAGGGTTTAGGGTTTGCGGTTTTTAGGGTTTTGGGGTTTAGGGCCTAGGGTTTAGGGTGGATTGGGGTTTGGGGTTTTAGATTTTAGGGTTTAGGGCTTTACGGGTTTTAGGCTTTTAGGGTTTTTAGGGTTTTAGGGTTTAGGGCCTAGGGTTTAGGGTGGTTTGGGGTTTGGGGTTTAGGGTTTTAGGGTTTAGGGTTTCGTAATTTTCTAATGCAGCCGAGAGGAGATGCCCAAGGAGCCGGGGGACGGCGATGCTGCCTCAGACTCTTTGATGACACTATTGGATATTAGGCTGCGGCTCTTGTTCCGGTAATAATACGGCAGGCTTCGAAATTCTTGAATCGTGCTGGGCCTATAGAACCTTAAACCTCTAGGTTGGAGAGTTTACCCTCTAGCCCTCTGTGACGAACGCATGGGCGACTACTAAACTGTTTCGGGTTGTGTTTTTTGGGCACTTCGGGTCTTCTCCTCTTACTTCAATTTTTGAAGAACAACTAGGGGACTTAACAAGGGTTTCCGGCTTCGAGGCTAAGCTGGGCTATATGAGGATTTCGTAAATATACTAGAGCCACTAGATCTAGGCAAGAACCTTCAATTCGAGAGTTTCAATAATTACAAACCAACTCCAATTATTCAGGGCCCTATATATCTCTAGGTCTGTTCGTGCACTACGCACTGCCAAAGCTGGGGCCCAGAGCTTCCCTAAACCCCAACACACACACACACACACACACCACCCAGACACACACACACACACACACACACCCACCCACCCACCACCCAGACACACACACACACACACACACCCACCACCCACCACCCAGACACACACACACACACCCACCACCCAGACACACACACACACAGACACACTCACACACACACACCCTCTATCTAGATCTGGGGACCGAGGCTTCCAGTGGCCATCGGGCAGTGGTTCCACTGGAGGCGGCTCAGCTGGTTGCGCAGCTGCAGGACATGGGACAGGCTACGGGCGACCTCGATGTCCTCTTCAAACAGGCTGCGTTGAAAGCGCAAGCTCGGGAAGAGAAAGCCCAGAAGCTGTTGTTAAAGGGCCGCTTGATCGATGTCAAGACCAAATGCACAATCTATATTCATTTTCTCGTTTCGAAACACCCTGTGGGCTAAGGCCAGGGCAAAGGGAAACCCAAGGCAAAGGGGAAGGCAAAGGCAAAGGCAAAAGCACTGGCCGAGGCAGGACAGGAGGGGGAGGAGGAGGGATGCGAGGATGAGAAAACAACAAAGGATCCTGAGGAAGGAGCAAAGGAGGCTAAAGCCGACGCAGAGCAGGCCCCCCCAGGTCCAAGTACGAAGGCTGCCAAAAACAAGAAGGAGGAGGAGGAGCGGGAGGCCGGACTGCGACAGTGTGAGGGCAATTCATGTAAGGGTTTCAACAAGTTGCCACGACTGGCTAGGCGACAGACCCGGCGCCAGAGTCGAAAAAACAGAAGAAGGAGGCAAGACGTCTACCAACAAGCTTGTGAATTGACTTGGAACATCCGAACTCTTCAGGAGAGGCTCGTGGCGAGCATCCTGCCCGAGTTGAAGAGGCTTGTTCATGTGGGCTTGGTGCTCCCATCGGAAAAGGAGTTGAAGCAGAAGTGGCTTTATAGCAATTTAGGTGCGTCCTTTCGTCCGACCCCCTTGCAATTGCTTCCGCAATATATCATAAGGAACTACACGATGCAGCGCCCCGGATTGACGAGCATTGCAGTCCTGAAGTGCAGCATGTACTACGTCAATTGGACAAGTTTGAGCCCATGGGTCAGGGCGATTGTAAAATTGCATGGGCTGAGCGCAGCTCGGCTGATCAAATCATGCATTCCTTGATCTGGTAACTGAGCCTAGTTAGACTCTCCCCGACCCAGGTGAACAGTGCGGGGGCGACCCAAGTGACCTTCCAGAAGTTTGGGATGGATTACGGGTTTCGCCTGGCTATGGTGCTGGCTGAGTGGTGCCCGATGCACAGAACGGATCAACCGATCCCTAACCCCTCCGATCCTGAGCAGGAAACCGCGGTGCGACAGATGATTGCCTCTGCCCGCTTTCAGGGGCTCTAGGTCGGTCAGGACAGCCGAGACGCAGAGATCTAGAGCGAGAGAGACAGAGTGACATGCAGACACAAACACAGACCACACCCACATGCCACACACACACACACAAACAACCACACCCACACACACACACACGTACACACACACCCCCACCCACCACCCAGACACACACACACACACACGCACACACACACACACACACCCACACACACACACACACACACCCCCCACACACACACATACACACACACACACTCTCTCTCTCTCTCATGTATATGTGTCGGCGTGGTATCTATACATACGTTGCTTAATACATGCCATGCATGATACATATTTCCAGCTGCCGGCCTGTCTACACGCCGGCACCCGCGCACATGTGCACTAGCTAAACGAAAGCCGAAAGGAACTTCAACTTAGTGCTATCACAGCTGTACTGATGGCTACCTCAGATGTGGCTTCTCAAAGGGCCAATTTTGAAAGTCTCCGCAAGCTTCGGAGACCGTGGCAAGGAACCAACTTTATTTAAAGCAGGCCACCTACTGCAGAGCGATGGTGGCTGTCGTGATCTGATCTAGAATCGCAGCGTGAGGTTGCAACAGGAAAATGGGCTGGGCATGCTGGAATCTTTCTGCTCTGCCATTATAAGGAGCGTGCTGGCAGCTGTTGTTTGATATGTGCAGCTCTTTTGGGCGGTGAAGTTCCATGGGCAAGGGCACCATGGAGGATGTTTACCCGTTGTCGATCAGCGGTGCGGGTTCCGCAATGCTGCTGCTCATGACAATACCGCCTCTTCTGCCCCTAGGTTTGCTTATGGACGTATTACATGCACTGGCTTCTCAGCTATAGTATATACACCAACCCAGCTTCTGTTCACAATCCAGGTTGCAAGCGGCCCACTACGTGGCCACCGTGGCCACCAATCACAGCCGCGCCAACACCTCATCATGGGGGCTTTCGGATTTTGCACAGTTGGGGTTTATAAGATGGAAAGCTGCCCACTAACATCCCACAGCCGGACCCAGGATTTGATGGCCCTGGAGGTGTTCAGTGGTGCCGGCTTTGTTGCCAAGGCTTTCCGTGGGGTGCTCAAATCCTCTCGCTTTTAGCCAGGAACCCTGAACCCTGAAACCTAAGCCTAAGCCCTAAACTTCCAATGATCTGCAGTCCATAAGGAGATTTGGGAGATCGAGCGTCACTCGCTTCAAAAATCGTTGCTACAGGGCATGTCTCGGACCTGTAGAATGATTCAGCCTACATATATATATCCTGCCCAGGTCCACGTATGATTGCTGTGATGGTGCAGACGAGGACATCTGCACCACGGCAGGGTTCCTGAACCTCTTGAAGAAAACCTTACGGTTAAAGCCTGCTGGGCTTTTTTACGGAGCACATCCCTGCAGCAACCACGTATGGATGGCCAAGTCCATCCATGCACGAGACAGATTTCGACCCTGGGGCGATCTGCGTCAGCCCAGCAACTAGGCCAAATTAGCTACGAGGCTTGTGCCATTCCACTCGTTTTCGATTGCGACAGTGTCGGTGTTCCGGATGCAAGGTGTTCGTCACAACAACATGATATCGGCGCGCTTTTGCATGCTACTGTTTCTGGCGACGACCCGCCATGTCTACAGCGCCATCGAGCAGCCGATGTCATCGACTCTCAGGTACATTCCGTACTTTGAGTACTTACGTGACCTCCTGGCTCGGGTTAGGTCTGCTGGTGCTGAATGGGACCACTGTTCTTTGCAACTCGCCCTGGGATAGCTGAAAGTGTCTGCTTGCTTGAGCACGTCGGTGTTTCAGATTTTGTGGATGCAATGTCCAAGTGCCAGCTCAGTTGGATGGGCCTGTATGGGGCTGCGACTCCCAAAGCAAGCTACCTGATGGGATGCGGGCGTGGTCCTTACCACTGTAGCTACCATGTTCAATTCCACCCAAAGTAGACTAGTGCGTAGATTCTTATTATTATTAGATAAACTCTGCCGCCTGCCGAGGCGTTGGCTGGGAATCAGGAACAAAATCTCCAAGGAAAAGAGGAAGCAGTTCCCGAAATCCGCCCTGGTTTGCCGAAAGAAACGCCCCGATGGTTCTGAAGCCGTGTCCGTCCCCTACACAAATCCCTTGTGCACTAGTCGTGTGGACTTGTTCCGGCTTGGGGTTTCAGTTGTATGCGTGACTTGTGAAGCTACCAGCTACATATGTAAGGACGGGTCGACCAACAGAACTACGGGAAAGCCAACAGTACCCACCGGCTTTTGCACAAGCCATCGCTCGCATTCACCGCGAACAGATTGCGCAGGACGCCACATGACAGGTGTTCATCTGGTGCTGTACTATATACTCTCAACCCCAAACCCTTAACCCTCAATCCTAGACCCTATAGCCCTCAACCCTAAAACCCTAAACCCTATGCTAAGCCGCATAACTCCAGCAGGACCCATCTGGACTGCCCGGACCGCGCCTGGACTTGTTCCAGATCACGGAAGCCACAGGGCAGCTTGTGGCCCAGCAGAATTCGGTCTACCTTGGGTGCACTCCGGGTTGTACTGGGTTGGAATGAAGGTCACAGCTTTCTCGTTGGCATCGTTTTCGGCGACTTCCGGCAGGGGCTTACGGGCTTAGGGGTTCTAAGGCTCTGGGGTTTCAATTCTATACTGGTGCTCCTTGATAATATACCTAAGATTTTCTTGAGATACCGTTCCGAAACTCGAAATATAACCGCTCTCACCCCAAGTGCCAAACTCCAGATGGCTGGTTCCTTATAAATTAATGGAAGTATAGCCCCTAGCTTTATAGTACCCACTTGGAACACGGAGTGCCCAAAGACTCCTATACCCCTATTAATTAAGGAATATACCTTAAATCAGAATAGGATCCCTAATATGGTTTAAGGTATATTCCTTATTAGTTAAGGGGTATTGGGGTCTCTGGGTGTGCAGGGGTCAGATTTTGATACATAATATTGTGTTGGGCATTATTTGCAGTACGCCGGGAATTCGAAGACCCCATCCTCAAATCCGCATGAAGTCCATAGGGTGTACTCATGGCTTCAAGCTTCCCACGAACGTTAAATTGTACCTATGGACAGGTCTATACGTAAGTATGCACATACGCATGTATCTCTCTCTGACTCTCTCTGTCGCTCGCTCTCTCTCTCTCTCGCACTCTCTCTCTCTCTCTCTCTGTCTCTCTCTCGCTCTTGTCTCTTGTCTCTAGATTTAAGCCTCGTCGTGTGCATGCCCTTGCTTGCTCCTCGCGATTGACGGCTAAAAGTCCGAGAGGGAAGCCCTACCGAGGGGGAGCCACGGCGCATTTGAAGAAACACACGGCTCCCCCCACACTGCTGGCCGAGTGTGGGGCGGCGGGTCGCAATTCCTTCAGCAACTGTGCCTTTTAGGCCATCGTGCCAACGCCGGCATATGACAGCGGGGCAATGGGCTAACGTGCCCGCTGGGGAACAAGTTGCTGAAGGCCTTCACGGGAATCTGTGAGGGTTTGCACCGCCAAGCACGGGAGGCCTCATGGAGGGATGCATGGGTGTGCGCTGATGGTTTTCGGCTGGGAAGAGGGGAGGGCGGAGGAGCGGAGGGATGAGGCGACCCAGCTGATGCTCATGATGCCGAGCCTGCCCTCCCCTCCCCTCCCTTGTTTGGCGCCCAAAACGGGCGCGGTCATTTGGGCACTAAGTCTGTGATGCTACGCTTGGTGTGTTGTGGCCCCCTGCAAGGCTCCGAAACGGGCGCGGTCATTTGGGAACTAATTCTCTGATGCAACCCACAGGCAAACCCTGGTCTAGTAGCAGGCCACCTTTGCCGAGCAATTTGGTTTTAAGTAAAGTATTGTAAATTACTGTCGTCAGTGGGAAGTTTAAAGCAATACATCATCTAACTTAGAATCTAACTCATCATCTAGTCTAGACTGTCTAGACTTGTTTCTATTTATGTTTCCATCTACGGGTTACATTAACTATTCATGTCTGTCACGTCTGTCTGTCACAGTCTGTCTGTGATTTTGTTCAAGCCATTATTTAATGTATTTACTTTTGCTCTGTTTCATAAGCAAGTTAGTTTATACGAATTCATTTACCTCACCTCATGAGTCGCATCTTTTCTCTTTGTGGACCTATTTACAGATTGGTAGGTCTATATCATCTGTAACTAGAAGTTCTTCTATAGATAAGTCTTTAGATAGTCTATAAACTTTCTCAAACGTAAATTGTGCAAAGGCTCTGCAACGGCTTCAGTGTGAGTCGAGCGAGACGCATTCTAGAGAAAGGCCCTGAAGTTTTGTTGTGTTCGGCGAGATAGTCTGGGAGTAGCGGAGCGGGGTATTTCTTAACTCTAGAGACTTTGAGGTTTAGTGCCTTAGTGCAGCTNNGTTATACTATTAACTATTGTTATTAATTATTTGGTGGTATTAGTGGTATTCCTATAATTAGACCCCAGATAGCACACCCCTGCCCTGAGACTCAAGCGAAAGCTATGTTCGTAATTCATACTGTAGTTCCCATAGTGTATAAAATAGTGGTTTGTGCAGGCGCCTGCAGATTCGGCTGGTGCACCATTGGATGCACCCGGGCTGATCTAGGTTGCCACAAATCATTCTCTCCCACTGCAACCTGCGTGTAGACAACTGCGTGTCCGGTGTAATGGTGTAACTTTTTCTCCCATGCAGCGTCACATGCAATTCTAGTCTTAGTTCTGCCGTTGTCACATTTGCAAGTGCCCGCAGCCTGATCACCTGATCAAACTCTCGTGTAATTTGTGCTGGTGAGCCTCGCCTTCGGCCCTCTTCGTCGTGCTTGTGAAGACATGACTGACCTTGCGCCGAAAGCCAAGCGAGCCCGCACTGCAAAGGAGTGGGAACTTCCCACATGTGAGTCCTGTAATCAGGCAGCCCGTTCGGTGGACAGGTTCAGCCCTGATGGTGCCGTCCTTTGGTGGCGCAAGAAGGGTGTCAACCAGGCAGGGTTCATATCATGTCCTGTCTCTGTCTATGGTTCTATGATTCTGTAAGTGTTTAGAACTCATGATATTGATATGACATATGGGTCCGTATATGGACAGCTGAAATCGCGCAGGCTCTGTGTCGAGTCAATATGTTGTAGATCTGTCTCTATGACACTGCCCGCTCCACCATCGTTTGCGCTCCTTGCAGGAAACGGGCCTGCGTGACCTGGAGCAGGGCCGTGAGTGTGGATTTTGCGGAGCGACCAGTCTGGAAATAGCTTAGCAGCCTTCCGAACCCCTTGGCTGTGGTCAGTGGTCCCCAGTTCTTGAGATGTGCTTAGATTATCTTGAGATTTTCAAGTCAGACAATTGGATTTAGATAAAGTAAGTATGAACCGCCGAGGTTGCATGTGTATCTTGTAACATGTACTGTGCCCTGTGGACCATGTAATTTTTTTCGCAAACTGCCGTGACATTTCTTTCTTTAACGTTTCTATGTGACTTTGTGATATTATGCCATGGCCCGGCACTGACGCAATGTGTAGCTGTCTAGCATGTAGACTTTCCAGAGTTTCTATGATCGCCGTAGGGTTTGTGAATCAGTCGACGTGCCCCAGGTGACTCGGGGGAAATGCTTTCCCGACATGTCCCAAGATGACTTGGAAAAAGTCAAGGAAGAGAGCGAGGCGGGGTTGTCTGACTGATATTTGATATTTGGGTAGATCCCGCAAGTCCGGTAGGGCCGCCGAGCTACGATCTAGGTTGCAGGCTCAGGCTAGACCGGCTAGTAGACCGCTCGCTAGCTAGACCGCTAGACCCTTACAGTAGCCTTCCCCCCACCCTCCCCCTATTCCCGCTCCATGGACAGGAGCTGAACAACCTCTGGGAGGAGAAGCGTGCCGATGCTTGCAACGGCCGCAAGCGTAAGCTATCCGCGGTGGACCTCACCACTTACAAGAAGGAAGAGCAGTACGCCGACTTCTTCCAGGAGGGCAGGTCTACAGCCCGGCGGAGTTCCTTGCGAAGAAGGGGTACGATGTCAAAAGCATTGGCAATGAGAAGAAACAAATTGAGTTCTTGAGCAAGGACCTCTCATGTTTGCAATAGTCTACGCTTGGGAGTTTGAGGCTATCAGGCTAAAGCTGTAGGCAGGGCTAGACATCTAGTGCCTAGTGCACTTCGGTTTCCTCCGCGCACTCGTCCCTCGTCCCTGCGCATCACAGGAACTCCAGGTTTCCGTGACAAAGCGGAATGGGATGAACGTGGTCATTGTGCTGGGCCAGATGAAAGTCAAAGT